AAATGGCATTCCATCAGTTCCTGAGTTCCTGACGCGACATGACATCTTCTCGTGGTGTGGAGAACTGGTTCCTGTATGTGGGTGGCTTCGTGTTGCTGCATCATTTGTAAAATGTAGTACAGTATCGATCCCGTCTGATTGGGACGACAAAGTGACTGATGCTCCCCTTAAGAACATGATTGAAGACATAGCGGAAAGAATAGGCCAGAATGTCCCTGCACACGGTAAGTGGTGCGCAAGCAGACACGCTTATGAGGTATGTTTTCCTACCCCTTACTTTCTCTCAAACTCCCTGGCTCTCTTTAGCCAGCGCCAATGCCACCGATAACCTTAATGGTCCTTCCTTCATTACATCGTGGTGAATACACTCGTCACTGAGCACTTCTCTATATAAATTGGCCAACTGGGCCTGCATTACTGCGTTGTGTCTTACTTCTTCTGGGAAAGCTAACGAAGACAGCTTCTGTGCTCTGGTTGCTAATTCTCCAGGGGATTCGTCTTTCAGCTGCGCCATCATTGGGAGGGCTCTCATGGCCTCTATCACTGTCCTCTCATCAGCGAACTCCTGAATCAGTAATACCTCTAGCCTCTCCCATGACAAGTGGGGTTTTCTGGCTAAGGCCCCTTTACGAACTCTGACGCTTTCCCTCTCGTGGCGTCATACACCAAATACAAGGTTTCTCGGTCCGAGAGTCCATAGACTATGCAGCTCCTATCAAGAGTTGCCACCCAATCTCTAAAATTTCTTGAATTACCATCAAAGGCTGGAATCCTAGGTCCGCCTAACAATTTCCACAGGTCTACTGGCAACCTTTGTTCAATCCCCTCTTCCTCTATGTCTACCTTATCAGAATCGTGGTCAGACATATTTAAACAATTCAAAACAAAAAAAACACAATCAAGAGCAGCAACAATCAAAAAAATTATTGGGAGATTAACCGAAAAAAAAGGGTCTCACCTGACAGTTGATTTCCAGGTCGTTCCTCTCTGCTTCCGTGCTGTTGATCTGGAGGGTTTGGAACCGTATAGTTATAATTAACCAAATTTCTTTGGTTCCCACTCTAGCCTATTTCCATTTGTCTACTTGGGATGCCGTGTGTTGTCCTGGGTGAAATTCTCTGCAACTCCTGTGGCAGTGGTTAGTTTAGGGTCGAATCCTGTGGTCATGGCACCAATATGTGACACTGAGCTGTCGGCCCGTGGTCAACTCCCAATTGCAGCGTGAAGCTTTAATGATTCTTCCACTGGCGTTTTTGGGTTGACTCCTAGTCGCTGCCACCAGCCTGTCCCCCAGTCGATCAGTGGTCATCGCTACCCGGCAGTATCCCTTGGTCAGGGTACCAATATGTGATACTGGTCCATCCAGGGTCGAATTCTGGTCATCGATGCTAACAGCTTCACATCAGCTGCAACCAGTTCATTACCATCTCTGTCATTCCCAGCTCACTTCCAACATCTGGTTACCGAAGTAACTGCTTCGATCTCAAGTATAACCTACCCACGTTGTGATTTTGATCTTAAGTAGACAAGATCAATCAGACGTCGGGCCGTAGTGTAAGATGAGTCCAGACTGGAGGTGATATCGCACAAGTTTAAAAAAAAAATAAAATAAATGTAAATAAAAACCCCAAGAGGTTCAAGTATGTTAAGAAATAACAAATTAACTTTATCTGTCTGTTATATACAGGAGTGTGTTTTTCTCCCAGCCCGTTTTCTACATAGTGTAACACTTCTACCTTTCAAGCAAGTTTTGGTATCTTAAGTCAACTGATTTAGTTCTTAGGTGCTGGCTTGGCTTCGTTCGTCAGTATAACTCGTTATTGGTAGGATAGGCGAAGTCGGAGGTCATGGTATTTCTTAGTCAGCTTCTGCGAGGCAACACTCTGGTTTCCGCTACTCGAACTGAACTCAACTGTTGACTGTACTGTCAACTAACTCCAACTAACTCTTGAATGGCCTGAGGATGTTTGTTTATATGGGTACTGACCAAAAACCGGTACAGGGTTAGACGTGGTCTGGGGTTCTTGGCAAGTCTCATTTTCCAACAAGAAATCTTTGTTGTCGGGCCAGGAAAATTGATTACTTCTCATTTTTGGAAAATTAATCACTTTCTCCGTGAGGAGAGGTCGGAGGAGAGCCATCCTCCTAGCCTCCTAGTCTCTTACATTGATACCTCATACCAATCCCTTCAGTGGGCGTTAATAACTTCCCCCGTTCTTCTCATCCATTTATCTCTGCCTATCACCATTGTTACCACCCGACCAATGGCATCCTGGCCGTGCGGGTGTGGCTAAGCTGGCCTCCTTAAAATTATAACCTAGAATTTTTGTTTACAAAATTCTTTTTTTTTTTTTTCCCATCGGCCAAAATTTTTACAAATCCCACATTGCCACTTTAAATCTATCATATCTTTTGGTCACTCAGAATCCACTTAGCCAGCACTCTTTACAAATTCCATCAATCAAAGTTTGCCATCTGGTCACTTCATGAAGTTAGCTTTTACTGGAACCCTTGTCTTCTTGAGAAATTAAATTCCTTATCTCCCAAATTGCGATTCTTCCACGCTATCTTTTCTCATGCCCAAAATTTTATAATCACCATATTGCTACTCAATGCGTCAGCACCCGAAGGCGATAATTTGGTAAAGTAACTAATAACAATTCTCTCCACCCTGTACCAGGATAAATTTTTCTCATGCCAAAATTTCCACAAATACCATATGGCTTTGCTTTGCCGGCACTCAAGAGAAAAAAAAAAATGATATGTTGGGAAGACGATATTGATTTTCCTTACCCCGTATCGGCAATCATCTCGGACCAAAATTTTTATGACTGTCATGTGGTCTGCCCGATATCTCAATACTTTGCTTTTTCTGAATTCTCATGTTTCCCTCGGCAAGGCATTTCTTTACAACAATATTAATCAATGTGTCAAAATCTCACATATGGCTTTTCTATGGGCCTACTGGCTTTTGTGAAAGTAACTTTTTTGGAAATAAAATCAAATCTTTTAATATCGAACGGCATATCTTCTTTCTGTTCTCAGTATTTCTTGTTTTAATTTCTATGGTTAATTAGTTAGCCAATTACCATAGCTAAATAGTGTCACACATGTAATGGTCTCTGAATCTATATTGATAGTTCTGATGATATGCAAAATTTTGATTGCCAGAATAAACACTTTCACTCATTTATTCATATTGAAGACTGGCATAAAATCAACAAGTCTATTAAGATAAAAAGGTAAAATTGAAAAAGGAAAGAATGTATAAGAATGTAATAATTGTGTACAAAAACAGCAGAATAAATATATGCATAAAATGTAATACATAAATGCAAGATAATATGATGCATGCATGATGTAACAGCATTTACAATGATTGTGAGAAAGCACAAACTTTGTCTTTTGCTCACTTGAGCTAAGTGTAGCCCACTGAGAAGGTCAAGGCTTTTAGAGAAAGAAATGTCTTAGTGACATTGATCAAAATTCGGTATGGAATAGGTTTCCATAAGAGATGAGTCCTGAAATATACCACAAAAGATCCATCAATTTTGTGCACTACAATTTTTTTATTACTGCTAACAGTATATGTAAAAGGATAAAAATAATTATTGGCTATACATTCACACGCACAAATTTGTTTACATACACACCTGATGAAAGCAGGCAATCTCTTAATTTCTACAGTTTAAGCTCCAGTAACTGGGAATGAGAAATGAATTAAGACTATATTCTAATTTTTTTTTGTAAATTCTGAAGTGGCATTTGGAATAAACTAATGCAATAGCACTTTCTAAGTAGAATTTTTGTTTTATATAATTAACTGAATCCATAAATATGAAGTTAACAATTATGGTATTTAACAAAAATATTAGCATCTGTATGCACAAGTAACAACTGAAAGAAAAGGAAAAACAATTCATTATGATGTTGCTACTTTAATTTTATTACTGCAGTGATTATTTTGCAAATTATATGTAAAAAAAAAAATATTCTTATATAGTTTATGCATAAAAGAAAATGATATATAAATTTTTATTTACCAGAATTAAAATATATATTATTCTACCTACCAAATCTATCACAGCTATAATTAAAACAAATTTATCTAAGCTTAACATAAAATTTGTTACAACTACTAAAATGATAAAAAAAACTAAGTACAAAACGAAATAATAAGCTAAAGCTTGAAAGAAGATTTTATTAATAATTGCCACAGAACAATTAGAAACCTTGAGGAATTTAAATAAAAAATTATATGAACACAAAAGGGATCTATTACAAAACAACAAACTCAGGGCATTAGTTGCTCACTGTAAGGAGTTTGACCATTTTGATCTTCAATTAAAAAAGAAAGCAATTTACTAAGATGAAAGTGTATATATAGAAAGTGTTTTAATTGCTAGATCATCCACAGTAAATTTGTGTCCAGATTCTTACAAGTCACCTTCTTGGCAGATCTATCATCACAATGGAGGATATTGAATAACAAGTGATATAATTGTAAACCAAAAAGAAACTAAATGTAATTGCCGACACACACTTTATATTTATATATATATATATATATATATATATATATATATATATATAATCTCTACAAATATATAAAAAAAAATTAGAAGTTTAAAATTTCAGTGTCCACTGTCTCGCTTGTACTACTGACTGTATCATCGATTTTTTTTTTTTTTTTTTTTTCGTTTTCTTCTCCCTCTCTCATTCGTTTTCCACTCCCTCTCTCTCCCTCTCCAATGAAGGAGAGAAAACTCTTATCTCACACCACCTTTTACCTTATGAGACAGTACAAATGCACTTTGGGACCTGGGTCTATTTTTTTATTTTGTTATAAATAAATTTGGCAAATCATTAGGTAAAGTGTAAATAAGCATCTAACTTTTAATATACATTAAAAACAAGCAACTCATAAGAATATTAGCAAAATAATCACAACTTTTTTGGTGGTGGAAGGACAATTGAGATGTAATACATCCAACTCAGACATGGAAAGTTTTTTTTCTTTCTCTCTCTCTCTCTCTCTCTCTCTCACCATAAGGTTAGAACTTTCCTAGATATCAGCAGGGCTCTAGTGGAAGTTGTCTTCTGTAACAATATAGAAAAGTAGAGAAGACAGTCTTATTTACTGAGGGATGGACTTTATAAGAAACTTAAATCTCATCTGTGGAACAGACCTAATAGCAAATAACTTTGAAATAATTTGATACAAGTAAAATATTCTATGGTTGTTGTTTTAAAATTTAATTTAATACCTAGCTCACATTCATTAGTAATTTGTGTTAATTTAGAAATTTAAACTAAGCTAGCTTCAGTACATGACAATGTCCATGGAAAACCTTAAAAAAAAAAAAAATATAACTAGCTTGCAAGATCATCTCATTAACCACTGAATTAGAGTGCATACATTTATTGAACTAAATTTTGGCACAAAGCCATATCCATGCTCACAATAGTTTAGCATTTAATAATTTAATACACAAATAGTGGTCTGTTAAAGTGACTCAATGTTTCCAATTCTAAAATATTGAATGGAAAAGAATTTGGTTTGAAATACAGATACAAAACTTAACATGATGGATTGAATGACAGAATATTGGAATAAAATTGTTATTAATGGCTGCTAAGTCATGAATCTAATATTAAAAGAAAGTTGTTTTTAACTTATTTGATATGAAAATGAATACATTTAAAATAGTTCTCTTTGGATATATATATCTCATCTCATGAAGTTTTTAGGATATTTTGTGCACAATTTCTGATTAATTCTAGCATTGCTAAATGTTATAAAAGTATTGATGATAAAGATTAAAAATATCTAAATGTTTCATTTTGTTTGTGCTTTAAATAATTTATCATGTGAAATGTCAGTCCCGTTTTATATTCAACAAATGCAACCAAATCACCCTCCACTGTTAACTGAATATAAAACATTAGCTTCAAACAAGTTGGATGAGTAAAATAATTTCAAGATTTGTTTTTTCTTTTTTTTTTTTCCTTTTTGTTGTTTTTTTTCTTCCTTTTGTTGTTTTTTTTTCTTCCTTTTTGTTGTTTTTTTTTTTCTTCCTTTTTGTTGTTTTTTTTTCTTCCTTTTTGTTGTTTTTTTTTTTTTCTTCCTTTTTGTTGTTTTTTTTTCTTCCTTTTTGTTGTTTTTTTTTTTTTTTCTTCCTTTTTGTTGTTTTTTTGTCCTTTTTGTTGTTTTTTCTTCCTTTTTGTTGTTTTTTTTTCCTTTTTGTTGTTGTTTTTTCTTCCTTTTTTGTTGTTTTTTTCTCCTTTTGTTGTTTTTTTTCTTCCTTTTTGTTGTTGTTTTTCTTCCTTTTTGTTGTTGTTTTTCTTCCTTTTTGTTGTTGTTTTTCTTCCTTTTTGTTGTTGTTTTTCTTCCTTTTTGTTGTTGTTTTTCTTCCTTTTTGTTGTTGTTTTTCTTTTTTGTTGTTGTTTTTCTTTTTTGTTGTTGTTTTTCTTTTTTTTGTTGTTTTTTTTCTTTTTGTTGTTGTTTTTTTTTTTTGTTGTTGTTTTTCTTTTTTGTTGTTTTTTTGTTTTTTTTTTTGTTTTTCTTTTTTGTTGTTTTTTTTTTTTTGTTGTTGTTTTTTCTTTTTTTGTTGTTGTTTTTTTTTTTGTTGTTGTTGTTTTCTTTTTTTGTTGTTTTTTTTTTGTTGTTGTTTTTTTTTTTGTTGTTTTTGTTTTTTGTTTTGTTTTTTTTTTGTTGTTGTTTTTTCTTTTTTGTTGTTGTTTTTTTTTTTTTTGTTTTTTTCCTTTTTTTTTTGTTGTTTTTTAATTGTTGTTGTTTTTCTTTTAATTGTTGTTTTTTTTCTTGCTTTTTTTTGTTTTTTTTTTTTTTTTTCCTTTTTTCCTTTTGTTGTTTTTTTTTTATTTTTTTTTTTTTTTTCTTCCTTTTTGTGGGTTTTTTTTTCTTTTTGTGTTTTTTTTTTCTTCCTTTTGTGTTTTCTTTAAGAAAACTTCCTTTTTGTTGGTTTTTTTTTTTCTTTCTCTTTCTTTTTGTTGTTTTTTTTTGTAATTTTCTTTTTTTTTTTTTTTTTTTTTCTTTTTTTTTTAGTTGGTTTTTTTTTTTTTTTTCTTTTTTTTGTTGGTTTTTTTTTTTTCTTCCTTTTTGTTGGTTTTTTTTTTTCTCTTCCTTTTTGTTGGTTTTTTTTTCTTCCTTTTTGTTGGTTTTTTTTTTTCTTTCTCTTCCTTTTTGTTGGTCTTTTTTTCAATAGTTTTTCAATTGAAAGAGCTGCTTATTAGTATGACTCGCTGGCAACTGGATACTATAGTGTTTTCGTTTATAACATTTAGTATCTTTACCAACTTTACAAATAAAGTTTAGCCATTTAAAACAAGTTGCCACTGTAATGAATTCTGGTTTATTACTGAAATTCATTTGATCTTTAAATGGAGAAGTACTTGATATTTTGATATGCTGGGTTCCAAAAGAGACAAAGAAGAAAAAATTCTTGAATTTTCAGTGTAGAAGTACAAAAAAAGGAAAAAAGCAGTATTCTAAGTCAATCTTAACTTTTGATTATTAAAAGTAAAAGAGCATGAAATCTGGACAAAGTTTCATTGAGACACTGCAATCTTATATTTCAGAAAGTTACTTTACTTGGAAGATTTTTAAATTTTTTTTTTTAATATTATTTTATTTTTTTATTTATTTATTTATTTTTTTAAAAAAAAAAAAAAAAAAAAAAAAACTTATTTTTTTTATTTTTAACATTTTTTTTTTTTTTTTTTTTTTGACGTATTCTCATACACTCTAGAATTAAATGTACTGATATTGTGTCTGTCCAAAAACATGAACAACTACTACTATCCTAGCATAAACTGCACATTGCATCATACACTCTGGGTATCTATATTAACAGTAATGGATTTCGCAGCTGAAAATTGTCACTCCTGTTAAGTATATTGTGATCATACTAAATTCTTAGTAAAAAGAATCTGTTAACTATTTATTCATCAAATACATTTTAGCACTACTATAAATTATTTAACCCAATCTCTTGATTTGTCGTATCCCTTTTTAGAACATACGTTTTGACAAGGAGAGATTTGTTTTGGAGATTAGTGTACTTATCAGTAATGTTACATTATTTGAAATATGTCATAAATAAACTCATTTATTTCATCTGTTAAACTGCATGCATTAGCTCTGTTAGTAAACTTATAAATCAGGTCACAGTGAATGTCAAGACAATGTGGATTTCAATGTTTAGCAAGGACAAATTTGAAAGGTAGCTTTGAATATAAAATATGGAATTGCCTGTATCACCTGAATTGCTATAAAGTTTTGGGTTGGTCTGATCAGTATAGTTGTATATTTGCCACCATTTTTGAATAATACTACTTGAAAGATTATCTCCACTCCACCTTTCCATTAGAGAAAGGTATAGAATGGATTTGGAAAAAACATTGATAGCATAAAACAATAACAATAGCATAAAAAAAAAATCACTATGTTAGAAAATGGAACTGAACAATTTTACTATTTTATAAAGAGATATTTTAAAAATTATGAAATTTGCATAATTTATTGCTGATGAATTTATGATGGAACATGTCAGTAATAAGAGTCAAATAAATTTATAGAATTGGATAAAATAAGGTGATTATAAAAGCTGTGTGGAAATTAGTAATACTGTTAAAATACATTTTTAATTACAAAAGTTTTTTTTAGTTTTCATGACTTCTATTATTTTTTTCTTAAATTGATGCAATTTCTGACATATAAATGAAATTTGAAAATATTTCTAGTTTTTTCTACCCATTTTATATATATATATATATATATATATATATATATAGTGCAAATTCTTAATTTTACTTTTGTTATGATCTTACTAGATTCTTTTTTTGTTGTTATATATAGTAGCTACATCTCTTGATAAAATCTGATCCTTTAAATCATAATAGATTTTAAAGTTTACTGAATTAATTTGGAGAAAAACTGCATGCATTTTAAAAATATGTACAGTTTAATCCCTGGTATAGTCCTATGCATATTTTATGAGAAATGTATAAATTACTTTTAAATTCCAATTAATAAATTGGTAAATTTTGTACTTTTAGGCTACTGGACTCCATTTTAGACATACTGATAATATCAATCATTGGTTGACTGCAATGGAGGAAATTGGATTGCCCTCGGTAAGACATTTCTGCTAATCCTTAAAATGAACAAATTTGGTTATGCAAGTATTTCTTTACTTGATATTGAATTAAGTTTTCACATTTTTCTAGATTGGTATATTTAATGACATTACACCCCATGCTAGGTAATCAATACCAATTCATGCTTTGTGTTAGTCTCTTTAACTAACAAATAAGTGCATTGGATTGGGGGGGTCCACGAAATAAAGAAAAAAACTATTATTAAATACTATTTGCAATTAGAATTTATTAAATTAGATAATCTATTAAGACATCATTACAACTAAATCCTTTTTCTAAATGAACTTAGTTATGAGTATCAGTGCCTTAGAGTAAAAAAGATTAAACAATTTACCATGTTTTTTATTACACTTAAAAAAAAAAAAAGTAGCTGAAATGCTTATTAATATATGAAAAATTTGTAGACATGAGCTTGTTTAAGGATCCATCTTTGGGCTAAAAACAATAATAAAAAACAGCAAATAAAATTAAAAATAAAGTTTCAAACATATGATTCTGGCTAAACTTTCAAGTAACAATTTTGGTTATGTTTCATAAACTGTTATTAACTAAAAAGATAAACTGATTATGAACTATAGTCACAAATATTATTTGATGGTGATGAAGAAAAGTATGAACTGTAGGAAATAAAATTTCTTAAATACATGAAATTACTAAATCTCTGTAATATAATCATCCAAGTACAAGGTTGCCCAGAAGGAGATTATTAGAAAAATGAATGTTTGCAGAACACATATAGTGTCTGGATGGCTGAATTTTTTGCTAATAAGAGCCAAAGATAATGGAAGTTAGGCATTACATATACTAAGTGGACATATCTTTAAAAAAAAAAAAAAAACTGCAAATAATCTTATTTACAGAACTTCATTGAGAAAAACAACTGCAGGAAATATCATCAGTTATTCTAAGTGTTCTGAAAGCAAAGGAAAAGTTTGTTGCAGATTAATTCCACAACACAGAACAAATCACTGTAAGTTCAGACTCAAATATCGGGGACAGAAAGAAAAATAACTCACTCCCCGACGAATGCAGTAGCCAAAATACATCAATTTTTCCCTACCAATTCGAGAACACCAACTGCTTTTATCGGCCGAGCATTTTTTTTTTTTTTCATTCGTCAACAACTGGGAGAGGACACCAAATTTTTTCATATCAAAATACTTTTATAGAGACTCTTGCGACAGACTTGTTTTTAATCTAAATATTCTGTCTTCAGTATGTCATAGAGAATACAGGCCCTTTTTTTTTTTTTTTTTTTTTTTGGTAAGTAATTTTCTTTTCCGCTGTAGGATACACACGATGCGCTGTCGTTTGGTTTGACGAGGTAAGTTGCCATTTTCTTTGCTGTACTCCCCCCGATCTCATTATCACAAATCAAACAGCTTGGAGCAGCTCTCTTTATCCTGGTGCTTCGTCATAATGGAACTATCTCCCTTATGCGTGTCGGAGAGTCGTCTCCCGAGGAGTCATCGGATGTATCTCAAGTTTCCGGAATCTCTGTGTCTGTAGAAGCATCGGATTCGCAGATCTCAATTATCCAATCACTGTCAGACGATGAACCATCATTGGAATTGCTCAGTGATGTATCAGAATCAACAAAAAAGCAAAGATCTTTTTACATGCCGTGGCATCCCGTTGACTATTATTGTTTGTGGACTTACAATGTCTGTCACACGACCCACTTGATACCTGGAGGCACCCATACTCTGTTCCCAACTTTGTATATATTGTGATACTTACAACGATCAGGTGGTAATGTTGTAGCAATTTCTTTCACTTTCAGTTGATAATGGTGAATCATATTGGCAGGCACATTAGTCAACGATATATCATCTTTCGGCGTGATATTATGCCAGTATACTAACTCCAATATCGAACACTGCTTTCTTGCTGCAATTCTCTTTATGCTCCGATGAGATCTTTCCACTATACAGTTTCCTGCAGGAACATAGGCACAACAAAAATGAAGTTAGGCTCCCCAGTCATCCAGGAAATCTTTAAAGAACTTATTGCAAAATGCAGTGTCATTGTTGGTCAGGATTTCTGATGGTGGGCCTCATTCAAAAAAAATACTTTCCATCTGTCAAATGATGCTTCTTGAGTCTTGTTGAAGCAGGCGTCACCATATTGCAAATTGACTGGGTCTGCATTCAATTAATGTAAGGTAGTGTTGCCCACCGTAATGCGTAATATCCATTCCTAAGTGGGTCCAGATTTCAGTCACTCTTAGGTTGTCACGAGGCCAATGACTTGAGGCTGGGTCAATTGATTGGCATTCTTTACATTTTCTGACCACTCCTGTGACGGGCGCCTTGGATGTTGTAGAATGGACTTGTCTCACAAAATACGGTGTTTGCCTGAGACCAGGATGTCCACTCTGGCAATGTATGGCACGTATCTGATCGGGAGAGGTTTTGTTCACCATGGAAACATATATCGGGCGTTTGGTTAGATTTCCTTCTTGATCACATCATACCATCATTGTGGTACTCTGGTGAACTTATCCATTCGATTCTCACTCAACGTTACTAAACTTATCATGATCAATAAGTTATACTCTTGAATCAGCTTTTCAAGAGTACTCAAACACCTCCAGATCAGCATCTCACTTGCCGCCTTAGTTTGTATTCTGGCTTTGTCACACGGAGTCCGTGAAGAGGTGTAGCTAAATTGACGCCCCTTCAGAATAGGGTCCAATTCTGATAAATTGATATGTTGGGCATCCTTCGCAGGCTGAAGCCAACTTGCGTCTTCTACAATGCTTCTGTCAACCTCCAACAAAAGCCCTGTGTCGAGAACTTGCATCGACCCATATCTCATAAGTGTGTCTGCTTGTGCACCACTTACCATGTGCAGGGTCATTCTGGCCTATTCTTTCCACTATGTCTTCAATCATGTTCTTAAGGGGAGCATCAGTCACTTTGTTGTCCCAGCCAGACGTGATCAATACTGTACTGCATTTTACAAATGATGCAGCAACACGAAGCCACCCACACACAGGAATGTGACCCACCAGTTTTCCACACCACAAGAAGATGTTACATTGCGTGAGGACCTCAGGAACTGATGGAATGGCATTTCCACGTTTCCACTTAAGCGTGTTATCTTGCTTGACATGCAAACCCAGCATATGTGTGCCATCCTGTAACCGCTCGGGATTCTTGCAGGTCAAACCAAACGCAGTCAAGTGCTCCTTGATGCAAGCTGATGAAATTATGCTCTCGACAACATAAATATCATCAATATATGATGAGGTTGCCTTGAAGATTCACCCCTTGAAGATTACAGTTTGAAAGGGCCAAAGTGACTTATGAATATGTACCTGTAGATAGGACGGCCACAGGTCAAGGACAGTGACATCCGGACCATTTTTACGCCACTCCCTCAGTTTCTGTGCGCACACGTTAACATTGGCTGTGTGCATCGAGACATTCATTCAGCTCTCGATAGTCTAATACTGGCCACACTTTATTTTTGCTATTCTGCACCACCGCCATCAGTGGAATTAAACCTCTTGGAGGACCAAGTTCCTTTTCAGGATAAGGCTGCAACCAATCGTTATCAAGCCAGGTGTGCAGCTCACAGTCGTATTCCTCCTTGACTCCCTTTGGTATTGGGTGCTCAGGCATCTGATTTCGCAAACACTCCAGTGATCGACCATCAGACCACTTCCATGATGTGACCCATATCTTCTGGTTGGAGTTGAATTCGGCACAGAAATCAGGTTCTTCTATTTTAATAGTGGCACAAAAGACTATTCCACGCTTGGGAAACTGTACATCGCCACACTCTGTTATTTCGAGTCTGCCCAGCTTTTTAATGGCGTCAAACCCAAGCAACAATTCAAAACCCAATAACTCTCCATACACTACCAAGACTTCAATTTTGAGGGGGTTTGTATTGTCCACATCAAGCTTGATACTTCCAACTCCAGAAACATTTGAGAGAATTTCCGTTTACAGTGAGTACATTCACCTCCGTCCCAGTATTGACAGACTGACATACTCACGGTATCTGTGAACAGCCAGTGTCCACCAGTGCCACTCTCTTAATTCAGTTCACGTAAATACCCAAGACACGTAGTGCCTCATCCATACCTCACTTAGGGAAAAGACCGGCGCTGACAACTTGTCCCCTTCCTCTTTTCCCAGACACGAAGCAATGTGGCTTACTTCTTGACACCAGAAGCAGCACATTGTTGCATGTGACCTACGGGGCTGGCAGGCATCTTCTCGTCAAACCGGGCAGTCCCTGGAAAGGTGATTCCACTCAGAGCATCGATATCATCGCATACCCTCTTGACGTTTAACATTTGGATGTTTATCAGCTCTGCCTGGTGAAATGGTAGCCACAACCATTTCCTCAGTTGCAATTTGATCTTTCATTATGGCCTGAGCTCAGTCCAACAGTTGGCTTGTATTCCTCTTCAATCCTGGAAGATGTACGCAGCAGTTGTTTGACGTGCACTGGTAACCCTGCTATGAACACAAATGCTAGTCCTTGCTCAGATATCCTGTGAAAAAGACCTGCTAGCTTTTCAAGTTGGCTAGAAACACGTTGATTCATCCGAAAACAGTCATTCCATGAACTGTTTGTAAACCAAGAAACAATCTGGTGCAAAGGCAATTTCAGGGCTTGTTTTATCTGCTCGATATCTGATTTTTGTTCTGAGTTTAACTGTTGGTAAACAGCAAATGCTCCGCCAGTCAACATCAGAGGAAGAACACGTTAAATCTTTTTAATTCCACACAGGTCACAAACAAGTTCTGCCTTCTCAATCCATTCAGTAACTGCTTGTCCAGTCACTGAACCATCAAACTTGGGTATCAACTTGATGTCAAATGTCTTGTCCATCAAAGTGCCGAAATAGCTTGTAAGTGTTCTGAAAGCCAAGGAAATATTCGTCACAGATTACTTCCACAACACAAAGAACAAATCACTAAGTTCAGACTTGAATACCGGGGACAGAAAGAAATCTGAAAACTCGATTTGCAGGTACTATCTCACAAATCACATTGCGCATAACCAGTCAGAAAAATAACTCACTCCCCGACGAATGCAGTAGCCAAAATACATCAATTTTTCCCTCCTGATTAGAGAACACCAACTGCTTTTATTGGCCGAGCATTTTTTTCATTCATCAACAACTGGGAGAGGACGCCAAATTTTTGCATATCAAAATACTTTTCCTGCGACGAACTTGTTTTTAATCTAAATATTCCATCTTCAATATGTCATCCCGAATACATACCCCCCTTTTTTTTCTTTTTTTTTTTTTTTTTTTTTGGTAAGTAATTTCCTTTTCCGTCGTAGGATACAAGCAACGCGCTGTCACTTGGTTTGACGAGGTAAGTCAGTTTTCTTCACTATAGTTATATACATAGGGCTGAAAATGCAGCCACTTTATTAAAGACTATGGGAGAAATAATCAATATCTTACTAATAAAAGCTCCTAAATGGCTTTCACTGTGGTTATCACTTAGAAAGAAGTTAGACATTTAGCAAGTTTAAAGTTGATCTTACAAAGCTACAAACAGTAAAAAAAGGTTGAAAAAATTTTGAAAAGTGTATTAAAAGCAGAAGCACAATAGCAGAACACAAAAAGGGATACTAGACAAAGGTGTTGCATGCACACATGTACGCAGGGTCACAAAGCTGCAAACTGTCAAAACAAAGATTTATTAAAAATTTAGACCATTCCAATAACTCTTGCTTTTGCTTGGAGTTAATACAAATTGTAATACTAACAGAATGTTAAGTAAATTGCAGAATTTGGAAATGACCACTTCATAGGACTTTCAGATGGAAGTAGGACAAGGAATATAGTTTTTAAAATGGTCAGTGTGTGTGTGTGTGTATTTCTTCAAAGGTCAGGAATAGCAAAAGGCACAGTTATATTACTCTTTATTTTTCCCATCTTTTCATGTAAACTGCCTCTGAAAATGGGATTAATATAAAATTTTTGAGAAACTTTGCCATATTTAGTAACATACAGACATTTTAACATAAAAATAGATGTTTGTATTTCTTAAATAGTACAATTTCAGTAAAATTTCCATCATAAAATTTTTAAAAAAAGGCATGAAGCTTGAGGCCATTGTAATACAAAGGACATAATGAAATTAGAAAATATTGTGCAATGCATGAAAATTACTGAAGAAGAAAATTTTAAGTACAAAATTTGTACTAATTTAAGTTTTTATATATAAAGAAATGGATATCTTCAATAAAAATTAAAATAAATATCAAATCAAGAAACAAATTACATATAAAATTTAAAAAATTTAACATGACTAGATAAGACAAGGGAATGTTGCAGTTATTTACATTGTTCGAACTGTTGAAGAAGGCCGACACATCATGAATGACATTAAAGATATAAATAGTGTAAATTACAATACCTCATCTCAGAAATATGGACAGAATGTTGCAGTGTATAATTATTTTTGAGATAGAATTTTAATAAAAACATATTTAGATTGTGCATCTGTAAAATAATTTTTCTTTTTAAATAAAAGGATTTGGATACAATTGATGCATAATTATTGATTCACAATATTGAAAAACAACAAAAAAATCATAAATTCAAAGAATCAACAATAAATTTAATCTCAATAAGTATCTGATTAATAAATTATAAGATTCTACAAAACTTAATGATAATTGAATCATTGTAACAAACAGTTAATGAACCAGTTAATTTTATTCAAGTTAAACATAAAACTGATCTCAAGTTGAGGTATCAATACTGTTGAAATTGTCAAAAACTTGAACATTACACTTGTCACAGCACTATTTTAATTGCCATGTTTTTGTATAAATAACCTAATATTGTCAATTTCATGTAAGAGATGTTGAAATGTACATTTTCAAAAAATCAAGGATAAAATTATCCTGTATCTTTTCAACCCTCACAAAAGTTTTAAATGTCTTTTGGAAGCTTTGTCAAATGCAAATTGTCTAACAGTGTTGACATTTTTTTATAAATGTCAACACTCTGTTAGACAATTTGCAAAACAATAGATTATCTTTTGCATAAAAATCATCAGGAAATTGTTCTACTGTTCTAACTTGGCTTTAGCACAAATGTTAGATAGTAAGGTCATTTGTTGTCTTTTTTTTTTTCTTTTTTTTCTTTTAGGAGCACATCAGATTTATTTTCAGAATGAGGTCATAACTGATGAACAATATTCACTAGATTTATCCATCTTGGCAATGTGTTGTTTACTCACATTAGGAATACAAATTGTTTAGATGCTGCAAAAACAATCTTTAAAAAATATGAGGAAGTACTCTTTTGGGAAAAATAATGTGTTAAGTTATTTTTTCTTTAAAGATGATGCTATTATAAATCCAAGTGTAGCAGAATATGAGGCAATAGGTAGCTTAGCAGACAACTGGTTTGTTGCTAATGTGTACATGGGGGATTGATGAATCGGGTAACCGGTGTTGGCATAGAAATTGGAATAGGTACTGTATATACTTGCAGATAGGTCACTCCACTAGATAGGTTGCACCCCTACTTTATGGCTTAATAATTGATGATTTACTGTTGACTCACAGATAGGTTGCACTATAATCTGGGGAGTTACATGGCCCTTTTTTAATGTAAGAATTATCAGATTTCTATCTTTATTTCAAAACTTACAATTATTAATAAACTTTTGCAGTCAAAATACATTTTTGTCAATCATGTAAACAAAAGGAAGTAACTGTTGTACCGATATTTTTATATTTACTGCATATTTTTATATCGAGTCAATTTGACAAAAAAAAAAAAGAAACTACAGAAGAAAATGTTACAGTACATTTAGAAAAAAGTGTTTATTTATTTTAAAACCTGCTTCATAACTCTTTCTTTTACTCATGTTCAGGGTTTGCAACAATTAAAATTATAAACCATAAATTTGGCTACTAACTATATCACTGTGCAATGCAAAATAGTGCAAACATTTTGGGTATTAGATTCATGCACTTTATTTATAAATAACACTTAAGCCTTCTAATGTTATATGAAACCACTATTAAAGAAAATTCTCATAAAGAATATATTTCATTTCTATAAGTCGTATTTTCCAACATATTTTTGACAGAATGAATCGTGGAACTATTTTTTCTTTGTCAATAAACATCTACATATGGTTCCTTAACTTATGTATGCATGTTCAGGGTTTCTATATCAGTCTAGTGTGAGGGCCCCAACCAAATAGTGATTGGTGGATCAATGAATATTTTATAATTTTATTTATTGTGATGGATATGTGAATCTAGCAGCATGAGTTAATTTTAAAGTAGTGAGTCAGTATATGTGATAGATAAATTGTTTCTATACGGAGAAAAACCATAGCTTTAGTGTTTATGGGTATCATTTCCGATTTCTCAAAAATCATGATGACAAAGTAGTGTTGTTTTACATTTATGTTGAGTGGATAGGTCACACCCCTAACATTTTGCGAAATTTTTGTTAAAAAAAAAGTGCAACCTATCTGTGAATATATACAGTAGGCAAAAATGAAAACAAAGTTTAACAAATAATAAAACAAAGTTACAAGATGCTTATAATGTAAATGTTTTTATTTGTAAAAGCAAAATATTTAAAACCAGTGGTTGGAAGCTGAATGAGATATATATATATATATATATATATATATATATATATATATATATATATAATATTTAATGGAATAACCTGCCCCCCCCATGAGTGACTACACTATAGGTAGTAACTACCTATAAGTATCTGTAAGTCAATGGACTAGAGTCTAGCTGGGATCTGTTACTCAGCTCTTAGCTGTTGTCGAACTCTCTGCCTTCAATCAGAGAGGAACCTGGACGAGGCTTATCCAGGGAGGTAGATGGACCCAAACCTGTTTATGCGGGTTGCGGGGAATTTTTGGCCAAGCCTACAAGCTCGGATTGCCCCGAATTAAATTTGGCCTTGTGCCACATCCTTGTGGGGAGGCTGGTAAATATTTCTAGCTGGGATCTGTTGAGTACAACTCTGACTGACATGAGAACTGTCGACCTTCCAATAGTAGCACTCACTAGAGGATTGACTTGCGACGACCTGGTGCATAACTGTTACCTTTATTCTTATTGTACTGGTTTTTACAAACTTTTACTTATTTTATCCACTGTATTTGTCAAGTACATATTCCTATTAGCATGGAATATAACAATATTGCTCATGCTATATTCACTAATAAAGAGTGAAAAAGCCTGAATTTTTGAAACAGTTTAACAATATTACTGATAATAATTTTCACCACTTTTTTCAGTTTCTTCTTGCTGTCATCAGGTTTTAACATTTTGCTATTGATTCTTTGTTCTGTCAGCATAGCCATCACATTCTTTATCACTAACTGCATATGTAAGAGCTAATGTACAAATTTTAGATAATAATTCTGCTTGAATTTTTTGGAAAAGTTTGAAATCCTTGTATTCTTGATAAGATTTTAATATTTTTTTCCAATAAGCAATATTTGGCATTGACATTTGAATATATTTTCATTGCAGATTTTTTATCCTGAAACAACAGATATATATGATAAAAAAAATGTACCACGAGCAATTTATTGTGTACATGCTCTTAGGTAAGACAATGTTTTGTGTATAATTATTCTAAAACCAGAAGTATTGCTTGGTGGTGCCTGGTTTAAAATGGATAAAACTTTCTCACATGCAAAAGGGACCCTATATTTGCCAAAAATTTGATCAGCTGTGTCCACTCTCCAGTGTATAGTCTGAGGGTGAGCTGAAAATTTCATAGGCTGACTATGAAGGAGTGATGCTAGAGCTGTGAAATTTTGCATGCATTAATTTCAATTCTAATTAAGTGCATTGTTTCTTTCCAGGTAAACCGACATCTTACTGTTCAAAGAAAATCTTTCATCCTGTTGGTCAAAAAGAATCATCAGTAGATATGATGATGTTATTAATGTGATACTGGTTCTCAGCCAAGTGTTTTATCATGTTGGAGAACAGATGATAGTCAAATCAGGAGAATAGGGAGGGGGATCAACCAGTTCAAAGCCAGCTACACACAAGCCATTGTGTGCTGGAGCATTGTCCTAATGAAACAAGACACTTTTCACCAGTTTTCCTGGGTGTTTGGTCTTGATAGCTTTTTGTAACTGCTTCAATAATTTGGCATAGTACACTCCATTGATGGTATGGCCCTTTTTGAAGATAGTCAAAAAAAATAATACCTTTTGCATCCCAAAATACTGTGGCTATCACTTTCCCTGCAGATAAAGCAGGTGAGGAGAGGTTTCCACTGCATGGATTGTCTCTTTGTTTCTATCTGAAAGTTGGGTTAGGAAATATTTAAGGTATCTGTGTCAAATAACAGATTTTCTCATGAGGTGATCAACCTGTGCACTTCAGGTGTCAGAAGATGCAGAACCCACTGAGCAGAAACCCTTGTCATGCCAAATTCATTGTGCAGAATGTTCTTGATTCTCTCATGGGATATCCTAATAGCATTGGTTATTTGATTTATAATCAATCATCTGTCATCATCACCATATAGTGAACATTATCAATGTTTTCCTTGGTGATGGCAGTCACAGGACGTTCAGACTTTGGGTAATCTTCAAGACTCTTCCATAACTTTCTAAATGCAGCTTCCCACTTTTGCACTGTTGATAAAGCTGGAGTATCATCCCCTAATGTAGCAGCCATGTCAGCATGAATGTTCTTGGGGGCGGGGGGGTTAACCCTTTATCTGCAGCTACTTGATGATACTGCAATACCAAATTTTGTCCATTTTCAAGAGAAATCACTATTTGTTATTTTTTAAGTCTTTTTTCACTATCAATAAGATTTGAAATTAATGCATCACTCTTTCATAGGCAGCCTATGAACTTTTCAGCTCACCCTTGTAGATGAAAAAGATTCTTAATGCTAGTGTCATCAATATTAATTTTCCTTGTTTATGTGATAGATATCAGAAAAGACTTATTTCTAAAAACAATGGCTTTTCTATTCTGCTAAGTAATCATACTTAAAGGAAAATTGGTTAAAAAATGACAAAAGAATGTGCACAAAATGATAGCACAAGTAATAAAAAAAAACCCAACTTTTACTGCAAATTAAAACATGAAAAAGAAAATGAAATTCATTAATTTTATCCAGTATATCCAACTCACTCAGAGAAGCACATTATATTTGTGATTTATTACAAAAAAATGCATTAAATTTATAATCTCCAAAAATTCTTACCATAAAAAATTTTCCAACACTATTATATACAAAATTTCTATCTTTAGTGGAACAAAGACCCAGTTTATATATTAGCTATATAACTACTAACACAATTTTGTCACAGTGATAACTGCCACTTTGGTCAAAGAATGATCAGTATCCACAGACTACATAATGCTGATGCTCTTAACACATGCAAATCCTTTATGATAACACCTGTATTTGATATGTTGGCTATACCAAAAGTTTTCATTTTTTGAAACCCTCATAAAATAAAAATTTTAAAAAAATACAGCTGAACAGGATTTTTTCAGCTAAGACAGTAGGATTTGTAATTTATTTAATGGACATATTCAGTTCAGAAAATGCCTTGCTTTGCATGTGTTTACATGATGGTAAATGTTAAAATTTTGCTCTGGAATGTTGCTTGTATTATAAATTCTTAAGCTTGAAAAAGAACTTAAAAGCAAAGAGAAAGTTCTTTATGACACTCAAGTCTCTTCAAATGGCAAAAGGCAGTTATTGATTTTCAAACTCTTAGCAATCTCTTCCATTGAAAATCTTCAGTTTATTCTCTATGGTGGCAAGCAGAGAGTCTTCTTCAATGTCAAAAGTCACCTGGAGTGTGGTTGACCATCTTGGTTAAAATCACCCTGACAAATCTGCCAAACTATTTTTTGGCTGTCTTGAAGGGCTGGAGCATGGTTCAAATAAACTTTCTGAATTTTTTTTTTTTTTTTTCATAATGCCAACACATTAAAATATAAATTTCTGAAATTTATAAAGCATAAGTGCAACTGTTCAACATATATCTTTTAAGTTATTCATTTGTGGACAAAACATCACCATTCAACAAAGTCTGACTCTCAACTGAACAATGCAAGGTTTTCAATCTAGGACAACAGAAATTGTTTTTTTTAAAAACCTGTTATATATTATAACATCAGTAGTAAATAAAGAGGAAGCTGAAGTTTCTGGGACACATAATAAAGAAAGAGGGCCTGGAGAATCTGATAATCATGGGTCGAATAGAGGGAAAGAGAGACAAGGGGAAAACGTGTGACATACCTGGTGGACTTAAGCAAGTGGATGACAGAACATGGTCTGGGAGAGGAAGCAGAGGGAAGGAACTTGTTGAGAGCTGCATGGGAAAGAGGGAGGTAGAGAGCCATGATCTCCTACACTCTGAAAGGATATGGCACATGAAAAGAAAATAAACAAACCTAAGTAGAAGTATTATAAAAATATAAAATTGTTTTTGTTTTATAATTTTCAGTTGTTTAACTTATTTTGAGGTTAATTTTATTATGTATTTTTTAATTTCAGCTTATATTTATTCAAACTTGGACTAGCACCACAAATACAAGATCTTTATGGGAAAATAAATTTCACTGGTATGTATTATGATTTGTGTGTTTGAGCTTTTAAATGCTGATAATGTTTTTTTCTCTCCAATGTGTTCAATATTTGAGTTAGATATGAATTCTTTCCTTTTAGATTTATTGTAAACATTCAGGATTTTGTTTCTTAGCTGAAATTATGATGTGTAAATTATACAACTGTGTAAATTTCTTTTTCTCTGAAAGTAATTACATTTTTGGTATATTATTCACTACCTCTCAAGGGTTGACTTCTACTTTTATTCATATTAGTAATAATCTTCAGTTTTCACATTATTCCTATTATTCGTCTTTGAACAGGTCAACTATTGGTTGCATTTTCTTTTAACAAATTGATAAATTTTAATGGGTTTTCTAAAACAACTTTACACTGATAATTATGTCAAAATTCAACCATCACTTAGTATTCTTAAAAGGTAAATGAAAATTTAGCTTCTATTTATATGAAATATTCATAAATTATTCCCTCTTTGAAACAGCTAATCATTGGAATGATCAAATGATATACTACATCTTCCTTATTATTGAGATAGATGTTCCAAAGTTACATGAAATTTTATTTTACTACTGTGGGCTTTAACTGATTGATTACTTGGTAATTTAAATTTGATTATACTGATTATTACAAGTGTCGGTAGTTCTTGGGATTATTTATACACACAATGTAATGTTCTTTTTATGGCTTATACAAGGAAATCTTTTATGTCCTAAAACTTAAAAAGGAAAAGAGTACTGTAAAAATGCTCAATGCTTCGTAAAATGTAGAGCTATCTAAGATCTTACATATCTTGAATTAAAATAAAAAAAAATGCACAGCAACTGGTTTGCAAATTAACTTTTGCTTTCTGGCAAGTTGGGCCACAAATTTCAGGATCAATAAGATGGTGTATGGGGTGGTTTCAGTTATATAATAACCAAGCTATGCTATGGAACTTTACTACTGTTTATCCTGGCTGCACAAAAATCTACTGCTATATATATATTGGAATTAGATATGAAATGGCTCATAACTATATATTTTTCTTCACTCTGCTGCCAAGTTGTTTACTATTAAAACAGGTCGAAGAGAAGAGTGACCAACATTAATTTCATAAATAACATTTCAGAGAGTGTATTTAAACATATTCCTAAGGGAATACAGTATAAGTTATTAACAGATGTTGTCATTGTTGGAATATTCATTCAAAAACAAAAACGTTTGCAATGTCCCTTAAGAGTGAGGGATGTTAATTTATTGTATCATGAAACAAAGCCCCACTTGAATAAGGGGGTGGTAATTTGGTATATGCCTACATTAAATAAGGCACTGAAAACCATAATTGGAAAATATTTTCAGCTTATTGAATAAAACATTTCCTACTTGGATCTACATTTCCTCCTCCCAGCTATGGGTTAAATAGTAGGATTGTATCGGGAAAAGTCATTATTCTAAAAAAAATTGTTAATGCAATATTCACTTGTGAAAAATAAAAATTCTTACAGTCAAAAATATGTTTCAGCTTTCAATAACCAACAAAGTTGTTATATGCCATAAAAAACAATCAATCTCACCTAGGTCCAAGTTATATTGAATTTTTCAATGGAAACACTGTCAAGTTATACAGGGTGCGATAGATAAATTGTCGTCTAAATTACACAAAAATGAAAATAACACTGACATCTCATTTTAACAGGTATATTTACCAAAATTATGCAAAAATATTTTGAAATACTAAAGAGTAAATTTATTCAATAAAATAACAATTGGCTTCAACCACGGCCTCCAGATGACTTCGTAATCTGCAACTCTTCTGGAATTGTCATGGTGCTCTTTTTCTCACAGACAGTGCCCAGCTGACCCTGCTATACTGTGCAGTCAACAAAATCAAAAACAACGTGCATGCACAAAATATAAAATGGCATCAATTTGCACCTTGTTGTTGCATACTGAATATGGTTATGCTAATAAGATAGTTAAAAAAATAATGAGGAAATAAGGTTGGGGACAACCAAGATGTAATTCAGGGGTCGGCAACTCATTCGACCCCGCAGGCCGGATCATGTTATAATGATGGGTCGTGAGCCGGACAAAGGCCATTAATGAAAAATTAAGGAAAATTACATATGCAGCTCCCTGTCAACTTAAATATTTAAAACCCTAATGAAAATAAACATTGAGAAATCAGAAAAACAAAAGAAAATCTAAAATGAAAAACATCTAACAAAAATTACTTTTCCTCAAGGAACGTCAAAATACTTCAAAGTGAAAAAAATCAACCGAAGTGAAATGGATGAAATTATGACGTGTAGGTTTGAAACTGTTATTGAAAATTGTTCCACAAACGGACCACACACACACACACACACACACACAAAGCACATATACCCATACATACGAGTACAAATAGTTGCAAACATATACACTTACGTACTTACATATGCGGTATCATCCACACATTCATTACATAGGGTAGGTGGCAAGGGTAAGCGATGGGGGTCGCTGTTGGAGGAATGAAATAGAACGTCGACTGAGACAACATTGTCCCTTTGAAGTTGTCGCTGGTTGGTTAAATCGGCTCTCAGTTTTTGTTTTATGTTTATTTTTTATGCTGAAATGAAGGTGATTGGGTTTTGAACGTGTTTTTGCGGTCATAGCATTCAAATTCGGTTGGGTGGATCAGAGGACGATAACAGCAAGCCTTTTGTTGAATTCATGTTAAAAATAGTCATTGGTAATCGGGCTTGCGGGGCGGTCAAAATGCCTTTGTGGGCCGGATCCGGCCCGCGGGCCATAGGTTGCCAACTCTTGATGTAATTGAAGGGATAAGTGCAATTGCCCATTGAATGGCAAAATGCCTGACAAGGCAACAGTAAAGACAAAATATATATTTTTGGTCAAATGAATATCCATTCAAACACTGTCCTTTATACTGGAGAGTACATGAACAGCACTGCTTGATTAAGATATGTATGAAACCTTATGGAAAAACTATACATATACCCAGAGGAAGCAGGTGATTATGAAAAATATTTTTAATGAATTTGTAGAGGTAGGCATTTTAAGGAGATGTCATTAATGTACAGAAGATTAGTTATTCTTATTAACTTTCAAATTTTCACAAACAATTTGTAATGCAGTGAAGATTTTCTTCTATTATATAATTTATGGGTATGCACTAAAAAGTACTTTCTTAATGGACTTATGAATACACATAAATACAAGTTTATCTTTCTAAATTCAATTTTAAATAGCTGTAATTACTGTCATGAAATTATCAAGTCTTTTACTGTTGTAAAGATTATTCATTCTTTTATTCAATAATGATCAACTGGCGAACAATAAATAATTTTCCTTCAGGATGAAATAGTTTGTTATAATTTATTAATACTATTTTTAAATTGCTGTAACTTAAAAAAAATCTTTTTCAAGATTTACTTCATTATACAATAATTTTTGCAAATGAATACAATTTGGTTTTTATTCTATTTTTATTTTTTATTGGATGAATGCTAACCTGGATAATTTTTATTCATGTGATGATCTATTTTGGGAACAACTGGAAGACATAAACTTAAGAAACCTGTAATTTCAGCTAATGTTTGAAATATTTTTTATGTATAAATATATAGTAGTCTCTCATTAAGTAATATAACTTAATATAACATAAGGAAACATCATGGTGGTGTTATTTTACATCAATTTCTTATTTTCAAGTATTTGTTTTAAAACAGATTAAGCATTATACAGTTTATTTTGGTTCTAACAGTAGTTATCCGTATAAAAAGTTGTATTCTAGGTTTTAACCAGAAAAATAATTCTGCAAAAGCTTAAAGTGAATGAACTTATGATTCTTCACAGTAGAAAATATCTTTATTAAAAAACTGAATTGTTCTATTTTTCTGGTTCTAACATTATTTTCTAATAACCAATATTTTTCCTTTTCAGCTACCATGTTTATTATTTAGTCTACTACTATTATTATTACCAAACACATCCTTATCAATATACAGCAAATGTAATACATTTGTAAGTTGGGTTTAAAACTTATGAGTAAAATTATTTATTTCTTCTTGTGCATTTGACACAAAAGGGACCATCAGCAGACATTAGGTAAGTTGGGGTTCATTTGTGAGAGTATAGTGAGCATATCAAATAATAATTATGCAAAAGTTAATATCAAATGATCTTTCTGTTAATAAGATCAGGGGTTACAAATCATTTAGTTCTCAGCTTGTTAGAGCATGGGTGCCTGTCTATTGTCAAAAAAAAAAAAAAAATCATCTGTGTGCATACACACACGCACACAGTGATCATCAGTCTTGATGCATGTCAATTGAACCTACTGCATACCCACAAGGTATATGTAAGTTTTTTTTATCGAGGTTAGTGTTGTAGAGTAGTTTTCACAGTGGAGGCTTGTATTTCAATAAGTTGTCCTAAAGTAGGTTCGACGTACAAAACGTTAGGAACTTGAAATAAGAGTTAATGATGCAGCAATCTAGTTGTGATGGTTGGTACTTCAATGTCCGATATTGACTGACTCGCTCAACACCACTGAGCCCAACTGGCGATCATTACTACTACTACTTATTATGTGTGAGAGAGTCTATTAATAATAGAATAGGTACGTCAGGTATAACATCACCACCTAAAACTTTACTCCGCAGGAGTAAAAAGTTTTCTTTATTTATTTTTCAAATTTTTACAGAAAATATGAAGAAAAAAAATTTTTTTTTTTTTTTTTTTTTTTTTTTAAGCAACATTGTAGCTTATTTCGTACGTTTTTTTGATCCACTTTTAAATGATCAGTTGCCTTTCTTTTTTTCTTCTGGATCGGCATATCTTAGGTAAAATTATTTGCAGGGGTTGTTAGATCAAACTTATTGAAAATCACCTCCATCGGTGTGTTTTTTTTTTTTCGCGGGACCACTGTCAATCACGTCTGAAAAACATCGTCCAATCTGTTTACTGCACGTGAGTTTTTCCCCTTTCACCAAGTATGTCATATAGCCAA